CCGAGTTCTTGCACAGATCTTAAAATATAACGTTCATAAATGGAAACATCAGCACATGTAGATACGTTAATCTTGAAAGTCGAGTTGTTCAAAACCTAAAAATAGAGTTGATAACTGGACTAATTGTTGGTTGAGATGTTGCAAAAGAAGTATCTGCTGAAGCTTTTCACCAGACACTAATCATAGCTGAACTATAGGAAATAGTACAGCTTATAAAATGAGTCAGATCAATGTAGGCCGGTAAGACAATCACTGATTGGCACGTCCTTTAACCAATCAGGAAATGTCACAGACCTACTGAATGATGTGTATATTGTATAGGAATTCTTTTTGGCAGCAAAGGACAGGTTTATGTGTTTTGATAAAGGTGGCTTCCAAAATATAGAGATGGAAGGTTGACAGACCATTTGCAATAATTTCAAACATGCTGTCATGTTAGTACTTGGACTTCTCTTATCTGACTAAATAATGGAATATAACAATCATTGTTATAGCGCGATTGGTCGCAACCTATTGGTACCCGGACTGTGAATCCAAGGTTTAATGTTTTGTGACCCTTTGCCTCAAATGTTGACCCGATTCCACTATTCAGTCAGTCAAGGGTAGCCCAAGGATTGTTGGTGGGTGCTGTTGACAAGCTACCTTCCTCTAGTCTATGAGTTAAAAATTACGGAAGGCTAGCGCAGATGGCTCTCGAGAAGTTTTTCGCGAAAATTCTAAAACAAACAAACAGAAAAACGGCAGATCTAAAAATATATTACAATGCTACACTTTGATATAGAATCTGAATACATGCCACACAGAAGTATAAGCTGTTATTGTAGCATAATGTGTAACTGTAACACTTACATCATAGCAGATATAGGTAGAATTTCACGATGCATTTCATTTTGCGCATAGGCGTCCCTAATTTTCAGTTGTTATTTATTTTGATTTTCTAATATATCATTAGTGCATTATTTCATATATTGACGACGTTTTGAGGATTCTAACCCCTAAATAAATTATTTGGCAACTAACTTTTAAATTTTTGCCCGAAAGCTCACCAGATTTCAATGCTGTCAGTGGAGTGAACATCAGGATCATACGAAAACATTTTTTCTATCATAATCATGCACCTTATTTGAAACTTAATTTTAAACATTCACTTAATTTTCTGTTTCATGAAATTCAATTGCATGCTTAGAATTTAATGTATTAACTCCAGTTTGAAACTAGTCTAAGTGATACCAATCTGGGTATAAACTCTGAACTTACAAACTTAACACCAGCTCAAGAATATAGTTTGAAGCAATAGGATTAAAACCATATTGTGTGTAAACCCTAATCCAACAGGATTATCACTAAGTTAAATGTGCGCTCTCTACTAACTGAATATGAACTCTAAAACTATCAATATTAATATGAATATATCATCTTTGAACTAACATGATAACATTAAGTTGATTCTAATTTGTTTGTTTGTTGTTAAGCGTAAAGTTAACACAATGAACTACCTGTGCTTTGCCCATCGTGGGTATCGAAACTCGATTTTTAGCCTTATAAGACCTTACATTTACCACTGACCCACCGATGGGGGGTGATGACATTAAGCTGAGCAAAAATTCTGATCTGACAGGATATTATTAAGCTGAACATGGATTCTAGACTAAAAGGATTAACATTAAGGTTATATGAATTTTAAACTAACGTGTTTACTGATAAATTAAATAATCAAATTTGATCTAATAGGATTAACATAAGTTGAACATGAACACTGAAGCAAGATAATTACTTATGACAAAAAAATCAGCAAAGAATGTGTATAAGTTATAATTGTTTCTTATTCTTAATTCGCGCACATAAGCCGTATCATAAATAATGTAGAACTTACAGTGTTATTCAGTACTTTTGAATCCCTTTCTTCTTGATCTGATAAGTGTCAAAAATAAAGAAAAAGTAATTTAGAAACCATGAGGATAAAAATTCATACACTGGATCAATATGTTCAATAAGTAACCACGTATCATCTTCAAGGACAAGAGAGGATGTGAGGCCTTACAAGCTAACTTGATTCATCAATTTTTACAAAGAAGATTGAAATAGGCATAACAAAGAGAAAAGGGCCATTTAACGTGTCATCTAAGCTTTTACGACTATCAAAACTATTACATGCAGCCATGTTCGCTAAGATGAGTATTTTGTACTTTGAATAAATAAATAAATAAAAAGTTAAACTTTAGCAGAAATTACAACGATGTTTATACCTGAGCTAATAAGATTAACATTTACGTTCAATAAGAACTGTGTATTAACAATATTAAACGAAATTCTAAATTAATATAATTAACATTAAGTTGAATATGTGAACTTTGAACTAACAGAATTAAAGTTTAATTTGATATCCAAACTAATAACATCAATTTTAAGTTGAAGAACAATTTTGAAATAAACGGATGAACATTGACTTGAGCATGAACTCTGAACTAATAAGATTAACAGTGAGGTAAAAATGAACAGTAAACTAACAGGATTAACATTGAGTTGAACAAGAACTCTGAACTAACAAGATTAATATAGAGTTGGAGATGAACTCTGGACTAACAGAATTAACAATGAGTTGAACACGAACTATGAACTAACGGGATTAAAATTTAGTTGAACGCATACCCTGAACTAATGGGATTAGCATTGAGTTGAACAAAAACTCAAAACTTACAGTATTAGCACTGAGTTGAAAAGAAGCTCTGAACTAACAGAATTAACATTTAGTTGAACACAAACTCTGAACTAACAGGATTAACATTGAGTTAAACAGGAACTCTGAAATAGCAAAATTAACACCGAGTTGAAGACGAACACTGATCTAATAGGATTTACACTGACATGAGCTCTGAACTAAAAATTACAAGAATCCACTCGCCTTCATATCACACCAAACTTGAAGCTGTTGTTTGGACTAACACAAGCTCTATCAACCCAGCTAGATGTCTGTTATGAAGGTTATTACCAGATTAGATTTTATTTTTGAGTTGTGAACATAATTTGAGAGTAGATTTTGAATACATCTCCAATCCTTATTACAAACAATACTATAGTTCTTCGGCTTAGCATGAAATATCACTTAACAAATCAGCATTTCATTGTAAGGTGAGAAAACTGACTCCAATAACTTTTGTATACTAACCAACTTTTATATTGTTTAAATATTATATAAGACTGCACGATTTCTATTTGATAGAAATAGATATATTCCTGAATTTTTTAGCCTAAATGAAAAGCTAGACAGTCTTTTTTTGCCATTAGGAATGAGTTTGAAATTGCGCGTGTTAACAGACCCAAGATATTGGATTCCGTTTCCAAATTTTCCAGCAACCTTTGATGCAGTCAAGAACCGTATTAACTAAATACATGCTTAAAAATCCGCCTACAAAGAAAGTGAGCAAACTAATGTGCTGGAATCTCTTAAAATTCTTATTAAACAAGTATTATGATGGAAATAAAAATGAGGCAATACGATGTCACATTTTACTAGGTATTCAGTAATATACACGGTACTTCCTAAAATTGGTAGATAACGTGTTTATAAGTTAAGTGTACACATATGCACGTTTAAGCAGATCAACTGTCTGAGTGCTGGGTATTTGTTGCTAATACTTTTCCCGATAAGTACCAAAGAAGCGTATTAAGAAAAAATTGATATTAGAACCAGGTGTTCTAGATATAATACATTTTATGTAATAAATGTATTTATGTGCATAGTGTACTTAATTTAAAAAGCTGAGTAAAAGAAGGTTTGTTTGTTGAATTTCGCGCAAAGTTACTCGAGGATTATCTGCGCTAGACGTCCCTAATTGGGTTGGCAGCGAGTCAACAACAGCTCTTAAGTTATTCCTTTACCAACGAAAAGTGGGATTGACGGTAACTTATAACGCCCCCTCGGCTGAAAGGGCGAGCATGTTCGATGACAATATTCGAACCCAGGACTTGTACATTACGAGTCGAGCGCCCGAGTCACTAGGCCATATAGTAAAGACCACATTAAAGATATTTTCACTAACTAGATATTAAGTTATGATATATTAATTCATTGGTTTTTTTAATGCTTTCCAAACACTAACCGAGAATCAATGAGTTTTTTTTTTTCCATTTTAGAGCTTGAACTTTTTGTTTTTCTTTTCGTTCGCTACTTTTGACAGACAGAAACATAGATAAAACATTTCCAACAACATTGTCAAGACACTTACGGTTATAATAAATCTTGATCACGTCGAAATGTTTTTGCATCTAATACATTTTCCCACACTTACAGATCCTGTTATAATATAATACGGTAAATACTCGACCGAAGTTAAAAACAAAGCAAGGGTATTAATGAGCATACGGCAAAAACTCGACCGAAGTTAAAAACAAAGCAACGGATATTAATGAACATACGGCAAAAACTCGACCGAAGTTAAAAACAAAGCAACGGATATTAATGAACATACGGCAAAAA